CGTTGCGGGCGTCGTATGTGCCCAAGGCAAAAATTGCACAGTTTCGCTCCGGTCCAAATGCGTTCCAATTTTTCTCTATGGATCTAATTTTTATGATGATTCAATGGTAAATAAGAGTTGTAGAGTTTAATACTACCACTAACTAATGATAATTTCAAATAAAACTATTATAATCGTAAAAAGAATAAAGATAACTATGGGTTGCCTCCCATAAAGTGCTTCGTTTAACGTCGTCAGCCCGGCCTTTGTACAACCATGTTGTATAATATAAGCCCTAAACTCGTCTTAGTATTCCAAGGTTGTTGTTCATTATGACCTAAATCCTCACATCTTCCAGGCTATTTGTGTGATTATTTCATATAAATCTAAGCCCTAATCAAATAAAATTGGCAGAATGGAACACCTAAATATTTATCCTCAAATTGAAGCCAAAAAATAGGATAAACCAAAAAGTCACTGAGGTTCTCCTCCAAATCCATGACATCCCCTAGTTCTTCCTCCTTTGGATTCCAAAAACAAAATTCTCTAAATTTGAGTCATTCCCATTTCACACCTCTCTATCTGATCTTGTTAAAAAGTCATATCTTTTTTAACTCCTTTAAGATAGCATTTCCTAATTTTTATCGAGAGTTTCCTTAGGTGACTTCGGTTACCTAAGATGTAATTAACTATAGGGGCTTGCCCTTATAGGAAGCTTGTTTGAATCCAGGATAATATAAACCCTATTTAATTTTCATATTAAAAAGGAGAAATTGTCGGCAAATAAAACAGTTTCGCAGACCAAAACGGATGCCATATATTTCTTAGTTTATTTGATCGAGTCTCATCCTCAAGTCTTGGGTTTATCCTTCGGGATAGATACAGGGTTTGAGGTAAAACACTTTTTCATTTAAACTATAAAAAATATGAGGTCAATTTGATTTCATATTTTTCTAAGCTTAAATCTATATGAAAATTAAAATGTACTTCCGAAGCAGGCGAAGAGATTTCGATTCCGGTGACCGACGGCTTCTTACGGGCAACTCCTAAACAAAAAATAGTGTCGACACAACATCATACATGAAAGTTGCACATAGTTTTAAGAAGTTAGCTATGTGAATTTTATGGTCTTTAGTATGTGAACCACAAAAATACTTATTTTCAGCTATCTAAATTTTGACTGATTTTTGCCTGGTTGGTAGGACTATTGATACTCTGGTTTTTTTATTCATTGATGGACAAACGTACTCTTTAAGTTTTAAAGATGAATATTTTATTTTTTGAGTTTAAAATCAATCCTAATTTCTATTTAATTTTTGTGAGTTTTTTGGTTTTTTGACTATTGTTTCTATATGAGAGTCAAATGACATTAGATTAATAGTTCTAATCCTTAGTAATAAGTTTAGGACTATAAAATATGTGGACTTACACTAATGAAAATACATAATTGGAATGTACAACAAGCACAAAGCAATTCTCATAGTTAAAGAAAAAATGAAGAGAAAAAAAAAAGCACGACATACTATTTTATTAAGTTTTTTTTTTTTATTTTCATCAGTACATCTAACAAGGAATAAAAAACAAAACAAAAACAAAATGGGCATCAAAACTAAACCTCACTAATTTAATTAAATTCTCTTTAAACTTGGAAATTTAACGTCATTCCTCCACAATGGCACCAAAAACATGACGTTGCAATATTGTGAAGCAGACATCAACTAGGTATATATAAGCATCACTCAAGTAATATGAAGATTTTATTCTTTGTCTCAATCCAACAAAAACATATGAATAGCTTGAAGAGTTAATTTTTTTTAAAAATTTTTAAAAAGACTAATCCAAAATTTATCCTAGATTAGTTTTTAGATAGTATTTTTCTTGCAGATAAAAAAATCTCTCTTAAATCGAACATAAAAAAATCAAAAGTTTATGGTCTATGTTCTTATTGTATGCATGACATGAAGCATGAAACCTTCCTTAATTCAAGAAGCTTCTACTAGTGAGAGATAACTCCTTGGGCTGTTCATGGTTTATGGTTTTTGTTTGTTTTCATAGAGTCTATCTACCAAGTTTAAATGCACATGGTGGAAAGAAATAATATCTATTCTCTTAATTCCACTTAAAATATAATTCAATGATTCAAATAAAATTTGGTTGATAATTTAAAGAATTATTTTGGATATTTATTGTGGGTTATGTAATCAATAAAACAACTTATAACTATTATTTCTTTTAAAAAAAATAATCAATTAATAATTACTTTAATATGGCTAATGGTTATATGAATTTTAATATTTATTCAACACCTTCTCAGTTTCA